TGATATGACTTTGACTCTGTATGCTGAACTGTACTTCTCTGTTATAAGAGAGGTTCTGCTAGGGGGGAGGAAGTCATTAGGAAGTTACAGTAATTTTGTTTTTTAATCAATAAAATTTTTTTCAAAAAAGGTAAAAAACTCATTAATTTTTTTAAATTACTGTAACAATGAAGGTCTCAAAAGCAATCTTTATTCTTCTAGGTTATAGCCACAGAAAGGATTTAGCTCATTTGGAGGGCCATATTTATAACCAAATATTCATGTGTCTATTTTTGAGAAACAGAAACATCAAAAGATCTGATCATCGCAAAGTTTGAAACATTTCTTAATAATAAAAGTTTTAAGAGATAAACATCATAAAAAATCTTTACTGATCCCATATCGCCCCTTGCCAAAGCTACCTTCACATGCAACCCAGAACCCTCTCCATCATCCTAACGGCTGAAGCATCCCTGTCTTATAAGTTAAGTCATTCTAAGCCTTTATTCTGCCACTCTTCTCATCACCTACCACTCAATGGGTTCAAGGGTCAGCTCTTTGCATAAAGTAGAACTTTGCAAGAGCTAAACCCAGTTCTCTTTTTAGAGTTTAAGCCTACCTGCGGCCGACTTGCTTTCTTTCTCAATGCCAGGATGCTTTCACCACACAAAAGCTTCTGAAGAGAGTGCTCGTTATTAATTCTCAGCAAGAAGCCTACAATAAACTACTACCTTACGAGTGTGTCTACGGTGCCGTAGAAGAGGACCACGTCCTGTTGCCACAGAGGCTTTGGCTCCAGGGCCAGAAGCCTGATCTCCCCATGGGACAGGTCTGTGTGCACAGAGCAAATGAGCGCACAAAGAAAAGAATGAAAAGTGAGGTCAGCACTTAAGCATCACTACTGTTTAAAACAGTCCCTCAAAAGAGAATATTTTATTCGATATCAGACACTCTGCTACTGGTTGAGATGGAAGTTTCTGGACATTTCAGATGGAACTCTAAACCACCAACACCAATCTCTCCCAGTTCTGCAGGAGACCAAATCTGCTCTTTCTGGATTCCCCAGATTGGTGGCACTCTCCCCACCAAGACGGCTCCATTTATTTGGCCAATATTTTGCATATCCTCCTCTGCGCCCATGATGCTGCCCCTAGTATGATGGAAACTCTTGAAGAATAAGGATGCTTCCTGTCTTTGTCTTCCCAGGGCCCAACACAGTGCTTGATATACACCAGGCTCTGAATAAATGTAAGCTGAATTGAAATGAATTTGAACAGAGGAAACTCAAAAAACACTGGAACCTTCTGATGAGGGACTCAAAAGGCTACTTGGAGCTAGAGGGATAGTAGCTGGTTGAGGCAGAAGATCCCATGAGACAATATTTTCATGAATGAATGAATGAATGGAAAAGCATTTTTAAGTGCTTAGCAGAATCTGTTTTTCCTTTTTTCTTACAGTCTTTAAATAAGAAAATGTATTAAAGGCTAAGGTGGAAGGGCAGGAAGATTGGTGGTGGCCTAAAACACTCAGGAAGACAAAGATATGTGAGTGATGAAACATAAGGTAAAAAAAATTCAAGGAAGTCCATAAAGTTTTGCCAGATATTAAAGAGTTCTGTAGATTAAGTAAAGAAGCCAGGCACAATAAATGGTGATAGGAAAATTTCCTAAAACAAAATTAAAGCCAAGTGATATTTCTTCTATCTCTACATTATTGAAAAAAATTACCTTTTATGTTCTTATATAAGCTATTCCTGAGCTACCTAAAAACAATCTCTTCTGTGGCCTGGTTGAAAAAGACTCCTTTGAGAAGACAATTTACAACATGCTTTAACTATATATTTAAATATCAAGCCTGTTATCTCACTGTCAAGAAAACTCCCTCTGTCAATGCAGATCAGTGACTATTCTGCAGCTTGGTGTTGGGGGAGGTACTTGGAACTCTGAAGAGCTTAAGTGACTTGTCCCACATTATACTGTCCATATGTGCCAGAGATAGGACCTGAACCCAAGTCTTGGTTCTCCAAGGCTGTCTCAACTCTACTATGCTGTCTCTCATCTACATCCTTTTAAGTGAGAAAGAAATTTCATCCCAAATTCTACCATTACTTTCACTTAGTTGTTATATCTTAGCTTTTCCTTAGACTGAAAGGAGGCTATTACTATTAAGCGATCCTGATTTCTAAAATCCCAAGATTCTAGTCCAAAGGGACAGGACACTAAGATGGCTTGGCTGAGACTTGGATGGAGTGCTATCTCCAAGGGACTCTAGAACAAACACGAGGTAGAATGTAAGCTCTTTGACAGCAGGGGCTGTCTTTCATTTTGTGTCTACAACCCTGGCGCACCTTTTAGGAGTGAGTACTTCATAAATGCTTATTGAATTAGATCAAAATCCTCTTTTTTGCAATCACTTTTTGATCTCATCAGTTCCCACGGGTTCAAATACCTCTATGTAGATTACTCCCACATTCCCATATTCAGCACTCATCTCTCTCCCAAGTCTCACATGATCAACACACCAAACAACATTTTCACCTGGATGTCCCACAAGCATTTCAACTGCAACAGTCCAGAACAGAACTCATGCACCTTTCTCCCTAAACTCACCCGCTTCCCAATTTTCTGAGGAAGGCATAACTATCCTGCCAGTTCCCTAAGTCATCTCCACATGTTCTTCACTGCCTCACACTCCATTTCCAATCAAGTGCCAAACCCTCTTGATTCTGTCTCTGTAATCTCTCTGACATCCTTCCTCCTCTTTCCACTCAGTGGCCTCCACCCCAGTTTAGGGCTTTATTGCCCCTCACCTCGATTACTGCAACAGCCTCCTCAATAGTTTCCCTGATTCTAGTCTCTCCTCTCCTCAGTTCATCCTTCCCACAGCTACAAAACTGACATTCATCTGGCCTAAGTCTGACCATAGTCAATCAACAAGCATTGACTGAGTCCATACTATGTGTCAGGCACTGTGCTAGCTGAGCAAGACACTTCAGTGGTTCAGTATGGCTTTCAGGGTAAAATACAAACTCGTCTCCTACCACCTAAAGCCTTTAAATACAATCCCAACTGGCCGTTCCTGGCTTCATTCACACAATTTCTCTTACGGCCCCCTTCATTCCAGCCAAACTGGCCCTCCTGGCTTTATCCTGTAGACAATATTCCATCTCCTGACTGCACAATGCTGACCTGGCAGTCTCCCCTGTCTTCCTCCCACTAGGAATCCCTATCTCCACTCAAGGCCCACTTCCTACATAAGACCTTTCCTGATCCCCTCCTTCCAAAAAATTACTCTCTCTATACGTGGTATTTATTTATTTGTACATGTTATTTTGACACGGTAGAATGCAAGCTCCTTAAGTACAGGGGCTGTTACATTTTGTCTTTGGATCTCCAGTGTCTAGCATAAAGTGGTCACTTAATAAAAGCCGGGTGAATTGAAGCGACAGCTTACTGTTTGGTGCTTGGTGAAACACACTACCAAACATAAACAATGCAAATTTCTATTAAATAAGTGTCTCCAGAGAGCAAAGCATTTAAAAAGAATAAAAAGCCAACTATGATTAAATTTGATTCCTGACTGCTACAGAAGCGAGCCAGATCTTTGCTTTCATTTTCTTAAGAATATTAAATCCCCTAAAGTTGCTCAATTATACAAAATGTGCCTCTATAGTCAGTTCTCACCTTCTACATCTCCATCTGAACACGTGAATTTTTCAGCAAATGTGACTCATACGCTGGCCTCTTGTCCAACTAACCCTGAAGCTAGGAGGGCCCCCAAGCTGACACAAATCTAAGGCTAGAACACTCTCACTCACACAGATCAATCGGGATGACTTCAGAGAGCTGAGTCAGCTTTACAACAGACATACGCTGGCAAACTCAGTTTACATCTTTCCTCACAAATCATCAGCCCTCGCCCCCTGTGCTAGTCTGGTAATTTTTCTCTTCTAATATGCCGGGGAAGAAGGAAGGAGGGGGAAAGAGAGGTAACTTTGGGAAAAGGCTCAATCTTGAAATATGAACTAATCCCCATACATTCTGCATAGAATCACTGAGTCAGAGTGAAAAGGGACAACAAAGGTCTGCACTCCAACACCATTCAGAGTTGACTGTCATGAAAACACAATCTGACGTTGATTTTAAAAAAAGGTCTAAGAGGAAAGCACCCATCCAGGTAATGCATTACTATCTAAAATTAACTTTTAAAAACTCAATTATCAGTTACTGGGAATTACCTAGTGAAAATCTTCACTAAAATAGTATAATTATGTACTATCAAATGATATTAAAAAGATATGCATCACAGTGTTCTTCTGATTCATGCATGTATCTCCATGACAAACACCAGGGGACAGGGAGGAGGGAGGAAGATGCAAGAGAATGTTTTTGTCAGTTTCCTGAGATATCGTGTCTGTCAGCCACCACCACTCCACCTGGTGGCAAGAGCCACCAAAAACTGGTCAGAGGGCACTGGAGAACTCATTCTCCAGAATACTACAAACAAGTCCAGAGAGAGAGAGAGAGCATCAGTCTCAGCTGGGTTCACAAAAGAGAAGATGATCACCATTAAAAATGAGCTATCCAGATAGGATCAAACCGAAGATGGGAAAAGGCTAATTACAAGCACCTTTCTCACACTCGAGGTTAAAGGCCAACTCCAACGTTTAGAGTGGCTTATCCTAAGACACAAAAGGCCAATGAATCTCTGCACCATATTTCCCTGCTACTTCTCTACACCTTCTGCTACGGGTAAACTCTAGTTTAATTAATACAGTTAACAGAAGCCTGACATGTAGCTTTCAGATATTTGCCAGTAACACAAATTCATGGGATACTCTAGTCTGATTTCAACCAAAAATAAAAATGGATAAACAGAGCTCAAACAAAATTAAAACTGAGTCTGACTGCCCACACTTATTTTCACACATGAGGAAAAATAGCAGTTCTCTTAGAAGCCTGGAGTAGACATACTGTATCTTTAGAACACAATGTTAAAAATATGCCCCCCTCTTCCCCTACCTGTTTCTCACTCAAAGCTGTGATTTTGGCTTGGAGTTCATGAAGCTGCTTCTTCAGATCAGCATTCTGATTGGAGAGAAAAAAGATCTGTGAGAAAGAGACTTCATTTGTTAGTGCAGAATAGTAGCAAAAGGACTTTAGGCATCTATTGTATCATAGAGCATGAACCACTTCAAGCATTTAGCATTAACTTTACCCAGCTGTATCATCCCTGATCCACAAGTCCTCCACACAGACTTCAAGCACTAATGGGGAGAAGGGCAACTGTTTTCTAGAATGGTTTCAAATTTAGAGGTAACTCAGCTAAGTAAAAGTTATGAACACACCAGTGGTTTTACAGTATCTTCCACTGAAACATCACCTTTCTGCCACAAGTCATATTCTCAGGTCACATGTTTAAAGGAACTCTCCCACTCAACAACAAAAAAACCAAGATAATACACATGTGCACCTGCTCGCTCTCTCTCTCTCTCTCTCTCTCTCTCTCTCTCTCTCTCTCTCTCTCTCTCTCTCTCTCTCACTCACACACACACATACCATATTAAGTGCATAGCAGGAGAGGGGTTTTTCTCTTTTTTTCCTCTATTCCTCAGTACAGTCTTACACAGTTAGTTATAGCCTAGATTTGGAAAAGGTTTCATTATGATGACTGCTGAGACTGCCCAACCACACCAGGACACTGCCTATAAATGGGCATTCATTTCCTCAACTCTGAAAATTCTAGGAATTAATATATGTATGCACATACTCCTACTAAATGTACCCTATCTTGCTTTCACTCAGATGAAAATTAAAACAAATATTAAAACTTGCAAATAGCCAATGCTGAAGGGCAGCAGATTAAACACATATTCCAATGAGATTATTTTTACTTAACCTTTCTTTGTAAAGCTCTTCCAATCATCCCACCCTAATTTCTATCATGTTTTATGTTCACATCATCCAAACTTTTCTGACCCAGAAAGTCCCCATGCTAATCTGATGCCGGAGCTTGCATATGAAGAAAGTGGAATTATTGCATAGGGCCCATCTGATAAGGCAGGCAGGCCGGCCTCACTCAGAAGATGACCCACAAGGTAGCCAGCTCTCTGCCTCTGAGACTCAGGTGAGGGATTGTCTTGTCATGTCATCACATGGTGTGCTACAGAAACAAGTACTTATAAGAAGGATTCACTGAACAGGTTTATTTAAAATAAGCAAATATTTTAGTGTTTCCTATTTTAGGTTCTACTTCTAAGGCTCAGCATGCCAATCTTTTATTTTAATGTGCATTATATTAAGTTCAAAAAGGAAACACTCATCTTGGAAAAATGGACAGCCAGAGAGGAATGAGTACCATTTACTGGAATCAATGGATTACACTGAGACAAGCGAAAATTAAGCCACAGAACCCTGAGCTTGTAAAAATAACCTTTTCCTATCTTACTAAAAGAAGATGGACTAAACTGCTGCTCTTAAAACGCCAGGGTTTTTTTTTTCTTTAGAATGATACAGACCTGCTATGCTTAATAAACTATAAAATTTACCCAAGTGCACACCTATGGTTTTAGGTTTCCTGTGAATTGCTTATAAAAATGAGGGAAATTCTCCTTTGATTTCCAGAAAGCAGATTTTGACTAAAATATAGTTTTCTATATATAATACTTATGATTCCCGGAAGTTACAGAAGGCTGTGATGTCAGAACAGCCAATAAATTATATAAGGCAAGATAATCCCATTTTAATGAGTGGAGAGAAAGCAGAATAGTCGAGTCAGTATGTGCCCACCAAACTTAAGGACAAGTCCAGAGAGTGAGTGCCTGCCCTACTTGCCAGACTGACACAAATGGTGATATGTCTACCCGTTGGGGATCCAGTGTTGACCCTGAATAGAGAGAAGCTTTGAGCAGTTAAATGACCCTGGAACATTAGACAAACACTTAAGTAAGACTGAGTAACAATTATCCTCAGCTACTTTCCATCTTTTTTTTTTTAAGGCAATTGGGGTTAAGTGACTAGTCCAGGGTCACACAGCTAGTAAATGTCAAGTGTTTGGTCTGAGGCCAGATTCGAACTCAAGTCCTCCTGACTTCAGGGCCAGTGCTCTATCCACTGTGCCACCTAGCTTCCCCTCTCAACCACTTTCAACAACTATAAGGCCTCCAGAAGGCCTCACAATCACCCAGTGCTTGACAGCAAATGCTTTCACATTTTTGTCAAGATATAAACAGTAATGATAAAAAGTAACAAATGAGATGACATCCTATTTACATGAAAAAATAACTCAAAGATGAGGCTCTTCCCTCCACTCAAAGCACGAAGAATTTGAGCCCAGGACAACAGCTTTTTAAAGGTCAGACAATTCCTTTATGCTTAAGGAGCTCCTTCAGAATTCCATCACCATTTTTTATTTTCTAACTTCTGGACTGAATGAATGAACAAAAGTAAATATTTACCTGTGGATCCTGCTTCATTTGAGCAACCAGTTTCTAATAAAAAAGAAAAAGAGAGCCGTTAATGTTCTTCTGTGTTAACCAACCAGAGCCGCAATCACCAGGTTCTAGAGACAGATAGAGTCCTAAGGGGGAAGCTACAATTTAAGTTGCTGCAGTTATTTTTTAATTGGCCAAGTTCAAAAGGGACCCCAAATCTTGTATAACTCATATCAACGGTCATTCAGATGAGACATCCCGATCAACTCAAAAGCCAGACTGCCACCTATTTCTTGATTTCGTCTTGAACTGACTGCTCCCGTTCTTCCTGGGTACCCTAATTTAATAGCTTAGCATCTCTTTAAAATTTTGCCCACAGGCCCAAGGAAAACAGAACAAAGAAAGTACATCAGAGATAAAGGCTGCCTGCCCATAGAATCAAGTGCAGGCTACTTAAAAGAACTAACATCTGGCTGGTCTTCTGGCTTTGCTCTTGCCACACAGGAGACCCAGATTTTGAAGGGACACGGCCAGGGATGTCTAAGGGGGAGGGAGCAGACAGGTAACAATGCAATGTTCTTCTAACTTACTCAGTTCTTCTGGGTAGGAGAATACCACCAGCATACTGAGCAAATATGAAAGAATCTTATTGGGAAAAGAGAAGACCAAATAAAAGATGAAGGAAAAAAGAAATCAAACCAATTTACTTCCTGGAAAGTAGCAGAAATCTTCATTAAAGCCTCTGAAGGACAAAAGAAGGCTCTGAAACCTTGGTTACCTGGGATTTTGGGGGGAAGGAGTGGTGAACTACATGATACTACAAAAGTGAATTAACACTTATAAGTCAAAAAACAAGTTTTTATTTTTTATAAGAATCTTTCCAAAACATATTATCCACACTTATGGCTTCTTAAACAATGAATTCAAAGTCCTCTTTGGCTTTCCCCCAGTGACTCCAGGGTATACCCAGGATCTTATCAGGAGGAACAAATATGTTTGGGTTTTTTTAGTAAATAATATTTTATTTTTTCCAATTACATGTAAAGATAGTTTTCAACATTCATTTTCATAAGATCTTGCGATCCAAATTTTTCTCCCTCCTTCTCTTCTCCCCCCTCCCCAAGACAGCAAGCAATATGATGTAAGTTGCACGTGTGCAATCATGTTAAACGTATTTCTACATCAGTCATGTTGTGACAGAAGAAAAGACAACAAAAGGGAAAAGCCACAAAAAAAAAAAAAGGAAATAATGTGCTTGGATCTGCATTCAGACTCCATAGCTCTTTCTCTGGGTGTGGACAGCATTTTCCATCGTGAGTCTTCTGGAATTGTCATGGATCATTGCATTGCTGAGAAGAGCTCGGCCAATCAGAGTTGCTCATCCCATAACGTTGCTGTTGCTGTGTACAATGTTCTCCTGGTTCTGCTCACTTCACTTTGCCTCAGTTCACGTAAGTGCAGGTTCTTCTGAAGTCTGCCTGCTCATCGTTTTTTATAGCACAATGGTATTCCATTACGCCCATGTAGCACAGCTTGTTCAGCCATTCCCCAGTTGACAGGCATCCCCTTAATACCCAATTCTTTGCCATCACAAAAAGAACTAGTATAAATATTTGTGTACACGTGGGTCCTTTCCCCTTTTTTATGATCTCTTTGGGATACAGGCCTAGTGGTGGTATTGCTGGGTCACAGGGTATGCACCATTTGATTGCCCTTTGGGCATATGGAACATTTCGGATCTTTCCAGTCCTAAATTTATAGTTCCGTGGCAATACGGTATCTGGTCCTACCCTGACAAGCCCTAGACTTAGAAATTTCATGTTTGCCTAAAAAAACAAAAAAGTTTGAATATCTTTTCTCTTGTTGTCAAATAACACTTTTTGCTGCTGTGACTTTTGCTCCTGTGAGGATTACTCTTTTAATCTCCTTGGAGATGAGAATGGAGCTTGTTAAGACAATTTTTTAAAATAAGAGTGACTGGGCTCTGAGTGAGAAGTACACAGGCCATGCTCTGCCCTGGCCTTAAAGACCCTCACCTCTGCCACTCAGACTTGTGTTTTCTTCCTCCGTCCAGATGAGGTTTCCAAGAGCTGAAGCAACTTAGAGGAGCGACTCTCGCACACAGTTGGTGCTACTAGATTTTACCTCAACACCACGAGCACTGGCTCCTTTGCTAGACTGGGATGCTTTTGTTCTAATTACTAGAAAGAGGAGCAGAATCTACCCAAACCCCGAGTCTCTAAGCAACTGAAACCAAAGGTTATATGGCTCTGTCCCCACAATGACTGAGGGTGGACACAAGGAGGGAAGCTCTTTGACCTTCTCTTCTTACAGGGTCACTGTAGGAGGGGAAGCAAGCAGACACTATCTGAAATCCCAGAGCATCCTTGGTTGATGCTTAACTGAGCAGCAAAGAAACTAGGAGGGCTGAGAAACTGGCTTTGATACTAGTGGACAAAATCTTTTTTTCCCCCAGCAAACAGCCCAAAAGCTTCAGAACTGACCAAAAACTGGGGGCACAACTGATAACATTACCAAAGAATCCTCTTGGGAAGAAAGTTGTAAATTTATTTTTTCTATGCTGAAGAAAATAAGCTGCACTTCTGATGAGAAATGATTAGTTAGATAAGTTGGTATTGTGACTACCTCCAGTTCTCATAACTTTTAAGCTTTGCCATCATGTTAATTCTCAGGATTCACTAAATAAAAAAAGGAAAAGTTCTTTCCTAGGAATTCAAGACAACTAGGTGGTGCAGTAAAAAGAGCACTGAGCCAACAGTCAGGAAGACCCAAGTTCAAATTAAGCCCCAGACACTAGCAACAGAACCACAGGCAAATCATTGAACCTGTTTGCCTCCATTTTCTCAACTGTATTTAACATTTCTCCTTTTCTATATTTAATACATGGTCAGTATTTTTGAATGTATCATGCACAGCTGATAAATAGGTATGCTCCTTTTTTTTTTTTTACTGACAATCAATACTTACCAGAGGTCTATCATATCTAACTTCTCTAAAATTCCATCTATCGCCTTAGCTTCTTTCTTATTTTATGCTTAGATTTATCTAGGTCTAAGAGGGATAAATTGAGGCCCATCCCCCACTAACACAGTTTAACTAGCTACTTCCTCTTGCAACTCATTTAACTTTACCTTGAAGAATGAGATATAATGCCATTTGCTGCATATTTGTTTAGTACTGACATTAATTCAGAGCATGATACTTTCTACCAAAATGTAGTTTCCCAGTTTGTCTCTTTTAAGTGGGTCTGGTTTTGCTTTTGCTTTGTCTTAGATCATGACTTCTCTCCTGACTTTTTTTTACTTTAATCAAAGCATAACAGATTCTGCTCAAGCCCCTTATTTTAACTCGGTCTGTATGTTCTGCTTCAAGTGTTTCTCTTATAAACAACATATTGCTAGATTCTAATTTCTAATCAATTCTGCTATTCTCTTCCATGTTATGGGTGAGTTCATTCCATCCACATTCAGTTATGACTGCTATGTACATCCTACATCCTATTTTCTTATACTTATTCTTCTCTTTTTTACTCTGTCCCTTCCTCAATTCTATTTTGCCTCTGATCACTGCCTCTTTTTCCCCACCACACCCCCCTTTTTCCTAACCTCTCTTCCCTCCTGCTCCCTTGCTGGGTAAGATGAATCTCTGTACCCCACAGTATGTTCATTTTTCCCTCCCTATACTAGTTCAGATAAGAGTGAGGCTTAAAGTGTTGCCCATTGCTCCCTTTATTCACCCCTCCATGGTATGAACTCTTCCTTGTACACTCCATACGTGTGAGGCAATCCCTCCCTCCCCGTGCCTTCCATTCTTCTTTTGAGATCACCCCAACACAACAGAATCGCAGCCAGGCCCTCCATCTAAGAGCCCTCGTGATGACGAAAGCTCTGAGAGGCTACGCACCTCTTCTCCCCATGTAAGAATGTAAACAGCTTACCCTTGTTTAGTCCCTTATGTCTACCTTTTTATGCTCGTCTTAGAATCCTGTGTTTGAGCGCTAGAATTTCTATTCAGCTCTGGTCTTTTTATCAGGAATGCTTGAAAGGCCTCTATTTCATTACATACCCATTTCCTCCTGTAGGATCATATTCAGTATTGCTAGATAGGCTATTTTGGGTTGTGATTCTGGACCTTTGCCTTCTGGAATATCATATTCTAGGCCCTCTATTTCTATATAGTGATGGAAGCTAAATCTTGTATGATACTGGTTCCCTGGTACATGAATTCTTTCTTTCCTGCTTGCTACTTCACCTGGGAGTTCTAGATTTTAGCAATAAAATTTCTGGGAATTTTCATTTTGGAGTTTCTTTCCAGAGGTGATGAGTGGATTCTTTCAATTTCTACTCTGCCCTCTGAGTTCTAATTTCTAATCAATTCTGCTATTCTCTTCCATTTTATGGGTGAGTTCACTCCATCCACATTCAGTTATGACTGCTATGTACCATATTTTCTTATAATTATTCTTCTCTAAACAGTTTTCTTTTATAATTTCTTGAAATATGCCTAGGTTTCTTTTTTTTAGTGGCTTTTGGGTAGTCCAATGATTATTAAACTATATCTACTGAATCTATTTTCCTATGAAAAGTTGTTTTTTTCCTATGACCTATTTCACATTTTCTTCTATTTTTCGAGTCTTTTGACTTTGTTTTTATTATTTCTTGTTATCTCATGGAGTCACTAGCTTTCATTTGGCCAATTCTCATTTTTAACAAGCTATTTTCTTCAGTGACATTTTGTACCTTTTTAAATTCTCTTTTCATAACTTTCTTGCACAGCTCTCACTTCTTTTCCCATTTTTTCCTCTACTATTCTTATTTGATATTAAAATTTTTTTTTGCTCTTTTTTTCAGATATCTTTACCTCTCCTAGGGACTCTTGTTGGGCTTGTGTTCAATCTACATTTTTCCTTTAAGGTTTTGCTTACGGATGTTTTCAAGTCATTGTCTTCTTCTGTATTTCTGTCTTGAGTCATTGTCACTATAGCAGCTCTTTAAGGCCGGGTTCTTTTTGGTTTTGCTTGCTCATTCTTCTACCTG